AATGTCATTTTTTTAAGAAAAATAAAGATGTGTGCTATTTAAAACAGTGAACAAAAATGTCAGTAGTCATTTTAAAAAATTAAAAATGACTCACAACTCAAAAAAATTATGACGTCAAAAATGTCACTATAATGTCAAAATAGAGTATCTAAAAAATAAAATCGAGGATTTTTTTGGAAAAACTGCTAAACTAGCTCCACCTAAAAATTTTTCTAGCTACAAGGGCCTGCATACGAGAACACTATTCCAACAAATTAAGAAAACAAAAAAAATCTTAAATTTTTTGGTGATTTTTGAAAGACTGTATTTCAATGAAATACAGCCTCAAGTTTCTAGTCTTGACATCTTTTGAACTAGGGTTATTATGTAATCTTAAGAAAAAATATCCCGAGAAAAAAAATTGAAATTTTTTTTATTCTATTTTTTTTAGTTCACGGATTTGGGAAAATTTTTATTGGTTAAATCAACGCATAGCTGGAGGTGCATTAGGGGCGAGGACACAAGTTCATCCCTTCACAAAAAAGACAAAATAAACACAACCAACACTGAAAAATTTAAGTTCTTGTTGTTATAAGACAGTTGAAGTAATTTTACTTCAAAAAAATGATTAAAACTTAAATTATATGCATTTTGAAGCATTAACTACTGATAAGAGATTACTGATAAAAAATTTTGTAATGCGGGGCATGTTTTTTTTCTTAAGGTAAATAAAAAATAATTATATCTTTTAATAATATTTGGAATATTTAATCCTAATCGTTTTTTAGTCACGTTGCATGCATTATTTAAAATCATTTTTAATTCAAAGATGTCTTATTCTATTTTCCGCTTCGAGAAAATGGATTAAATTTATGGTTTATGTTATTCTAGTTTGTTTTTTCATTTTTCAAATTACGCAATTCAAAATAAAGCTTTTCAGGGAAAAAAAATATTTCTCATTATCTGAGCCCTACTTTCAAACTTTGTCTTTTTTAACAACTTTCTTTAGGAATAACGCATAAAATTATGATACAGACTGAACCAAAAGTAACAACAAAATTCATATCTCTGTTATGAGTCATGTAATTTTTTTAAATGCAACTGACATTTTTTATTACTGTTTTAGATAGTACACATCGTTATCTTTCTGGTAAGGCATAAAGATTCAAAAAAATAAAGCAAAAAAACTTAAAAAGTTATATTTTATCAAAGGTGATTGTTTTTTGTTTTTACTTTTTTGTGTTTAGGTTTCATATCAAGTGTTTTCATGCTAATTAATTAAAAAATGTACAAAAAAGCAATTGCCCCTTATAAAATAAAGCAAGAAAGATCCAGTGTTGAAAGATCCAAAATGCAAAGTTGGAATTTTGCCATAGTTTCCTGTATTTTTTAAAATTTCTGTTTGGTTGTGATTTCAAAAAAATGCACTTGTGTTATGTGCGCCCAACATGGTTAATTTAAATTAAAGCTGTACAATTTTAACTTTTTGACTTTCAGGAAGTATTGAAATATTTCTCTCCAACCGTTAAGTGCAGGCCGGTTTACTAATAACTCGTTTATTGCTTCTGTTCCAAGTTTTATTAATATTTCAACAACTTCGCAACTATTTGAAACTCTCTCTGTTGATTCGCTAAATCAATTACTCGGCCGTTCCGAAAACCGTCTCATTTTTCCTCCAATAATTGCACCGGAAAAGACACGAAGAAGAAATCGCAGCGACATTCAAACGTGTTATATTGCCATCGTTTGGTGTTAGGCCTCGACCATTATCGATAACTCCCAGCAGCGACAATAAAACACAACCGATATCCATCGTAAAAACCATGTAACAATCTAATGTCAAACCGCGATTTGTAGCCTCTTAAAAAATGCATAAAACGCGATCTTTCATCACGCAAAAACGGAAATTGCAAAAAGAATCACTTGTGGTAAATCACGTATTAATAGCCTCCAAATTGGATTAGGGCCATAGTTGGACGAAATTTATTTCACCAACTAGCCCTAATATCATAAATTGCTTTTACATGGATAAACCCAGTTAGTCGATTATGATAATTAGGAGCACCTGTGACTCCGACCCCGGTTTGACTCCAGTTTCAATTTAATCAAGATGATTTTAACATTTTTAATATGAAAGCGGATGGAAATGTGACGTGATCCCATCAGCGGCCTGAAAAAACACGATAAGAGATAAAACCACCTCGAAAAAGTGCACAAAGGAATGACAAAACTCTCCAAATTCGGCCAGAATTGAAGGACCAAACAAATGATTATTTTCAACTAACCACAAAGATATTGAAACCATGGGCGCCGATTTTTCGGGTACATAAACAAAAAACTTGATAAATTAATCGTCTTTAAAGCAAAACAAATAACACAAGAAGTTTCTTTTCACATCTGCTATGTTGATATACAGGGTGTTTCACACAACTTTACACAGTGCACTTTTCTAGAAATTGCTGAAGCCGAAAATAGACAAAAAAGAAACAACGTTGTTGGTAAATGACAATAATGCAAGGAAGTTACAATAATGTCATGATAAAAGTAAAAACGCTTGGGCGRAAAAGTAGAATTTTTACTCTATGTTTGAAAAATAAAACTTTTACTTACGACATTTAGTCATAAAAATGGTCACTTTTGTGACGCTTGTAATAAATATAATTTATAAAGGACAAAAATAAGAATCAACTTGTTTTTATTATAGTTATTTATGTATCCAAGAAATAACCAACTTTTTTAATTCCTAGAATGTAGGTAATTTTTATTCAAGTAATTGAGGATGTTTATTCCAGAGATGCATACAAAACTTTCCTCCTACAATAGAATAGACCAAATTAATAATAAATTTTTCAAATAATATCAAATAAATAATTTGTTAAAATATTAAGTTTCTTTTAATTGCAATTTTAAGAGTAAAATCAGAATCAAGGAGTTTGTGTCAAAAAACACCCAAAAAATTTACTTACTCAAATTTAAAGAAAGGAAGGAATAAAGCGTCACTTTTTTCTCTGTTGGGAGGAAATAAATAAGAGAAGCAATATCAAGTTCTTAGAAAGTGCAAAATTTTGAGGATTTGAAAGCTCAAGAATCAGGAGTCAAAACGTTGAGATTTTGAAAAAGCAAAATAAAATATAAACAAGTTTACCAATTTAAAAAAGTACAGTTTTTCTGAAAATACAATATTTTAAAAAACTTATGAAACAGTAGCAGATTTTTAGGAAACATGAATATTGAGGTAAAAAACTTTAATAAGACACAAAAAATAAAACCTTTGAGAATAATATTAAAATATTAATAAAAAAAACTCAAAAACGCTGTTTTTTTGATCTACAAGAAATATCAATACATTACTACACTTAGCACAATAATTGGTAAAAGTAAAAAATTACCAACAAAGTCAAATTTTTATTTTATACACAAAATGTTCATTTTTTAAAACACAAAATTTCTTATAAAATATGTATTATTTTTAATTATTTTTCAATTGGTGTTTTATGATAAAAAAACTGCATAAAACTCAATTTACTAGATAAAAATTATTTCGAGAATTAATTTTTCTGAAAGTTTCGATAAATTTCCCGGCGCATCCACCTTTTATCGATACAGAATTTAACAAAAATACATTCATTTAAATCAATAATAGTTATTAATTTTTTTAAAACATATAAAAAAACAAGTTAAATAAGTTAATTGTTAAAGAAATTGTAAACAAATTATTAACTTTTTGAATAAATTTTTTTCAGGAAGTTTCATAATCTTGCGATGGGCAAACAGATCGATCATTTTCTTTTCTACGTCTAAAACACACAAAACCAGAATGATACCTTGAGCAAATACTGTTATTTTCAAACCAATCAAATATTTTCGCCACTTTGCTAGTGAAAAAATATAAATTTAATAAAATGTGGATCGGGTGTTTCAAACAGTCAAGGTTTTATTTTTATAGGATCGGTAAATTCGCCCCAACTTCTAAAAGATCGTTCATTAGAATTGGTAATCCAAGTAGCCGCATAATTTTATAACCCGTATTATTAGCGTTTCGTTTCTCACTTTCCTCCCAAAAACCAAACAATTTACTCATGCAACCCCAACATGCGAAACCTCAATCATTCCCTCCACAGACATAAAGGAGTTATTACTTTTGCTCTGTTGAAGGATTTCAAGTTTAATGCCACAATCAATTATGTCTCCCATTACGAGTTCATAAAGCAAAAGCTTGACATGTGTGTTAAAAAGGAATTTGCTGTCGTTTGTTGTTGCATGTTGGCGACTGTTCTGTTCGATACTGCGTGACAAAGAAAGGTCAAATCCTACCGCAACACTTATAATTATTCCATTATTACGCGGATTCAACACATTTATCAAAAATAGCCGTAAATTTGGAGCCAAAGTCGATTTTTATTGATCAAAAACCAAACATGAATGCTAAAATCCTAAAATGGAGAAGAATAATTGTATAATAATTCGAGCGAGAGCGGCAACCGATTGAAGAGCGATTGCAGACGTGATAACACGTGTCTGAATTAAAATTTTAATGTTTAGTGCATTTCCAGTTACTACACTCCCATTATCTGGAGTCTAAAATGTCGTATCCCAATACACGCGAGAAATTAATTTGAACTTTTTTAAAAATCTAAATTATTATTGACAAAAACAATTTTTCAATGATGTTCAAATGTGAAAAGTCAAACACACATATGTTTCGTAATTCTATTCCACGAGTTTGCATCGGGAAGTAAATAAACTCCCACGCGGGAGGAAATGGAAGGGTTTCCTCCCTGTAATTACAGCAGTTATCGTGTGGGAGTTTCTTAAACTATTTTGCTATTATTTACTCCAAATTTTGCTTAAACACAAAAACGACCAAGTTTATTGTAGTCTAGTACCCAATCACAGTTTTTTTTTATTTATTATTAAAGAAAGAAGAAAAGAAAAAGAAAAAAAATTCTCACGTTTTTATGCTTCTTATTGGATCTTCTTGGTGTGGAAACGATAAACAAAAACACGATTAAACCCGTCACATCAAACCTTTATTGTAAACACAAAACGCGTTTCAACCACAAATTGGTCATCCTCAGGTGAAATATATAAAATCGTTTCTCTTTTTTCGAAATAAAAATTTACTGTGACCAAAAATTTAATATTTATGTTTTTTTTGTGAAGATTTTGTCATTTCAATTCTCTTAATTTCATGGTTTTTAAGATCTAGAGTTTTTATTTTAATGAAGATTTTTATGTTTTTTCTTGACTTTTTTGTTTTTAATTCGAATAATTTTAAAACTATCTTTTCAGTCTTTTATTCCAAAATCTGCTACCGTTTATAAAAATGTTACTTTTTTCATAATTTAACAGAATTGTTACTAATGTACCTATACTTTTTCTCGAGATAATATTTATTTTCGCCTTGTTTTTTACATTCTTGATATTTTGAATTCTCATTCTCAAGATCTACAGGAAAAGTTCATTAACTTAATTTAATTTATTATAAATCGTATTTTTTATTATTGCACAAGAAAAAATTCGAAAAAACTAGTTGGCTTAATCTAATTTTGATAAAAGTATAAATAAAAAATAATTTTTGTGTTTTGATTGTTCATTTTTATTTCTTTTTGAAGAAATACTTTTTTTTAAAGAACTTTTTCCTGGGTCTTAATAAATTGCTCCACATAAAGCATTGTGGAATCCACCAAAAATAAAAAAGCCTTTATCTCACTTTAAATTATTTCTTTTTATAATTCATTAATTTAATTAATTATTGTAATTATTGCACATTTCCTTAACTTTGGAGCAGTATATTTCATATTCTTTTTATAGAACCGCTTTTTTTTTCTTCAAGATAACGTTTTTCAAAATTCGAAGCTTTCTCTAATTACACCAAAAATGTGGTCATTAAGGTTTTCAAAAATTTGTTATATTTTATAACACATTTATGGTTTTTAAAATCTATATCTTTATTTTTACAAAAATCTTGACTTTTTATCAAAATCTTAATGTCGTTTCTGGGAACAGTTTAGAAACTGTATTACAATTTGTTTCTCAAAGTTTACATCCGTTTCATGAAATTCTCAGTTTTTTTCATTTTACAGAAATTTTGACAATTTCTTCTTTTTTGTCATTAAAAAGTCTTTTATTTTTTCATTAATTTCATTTCCTGCTATTTCTTACAGATTGCATTAATTTAAAATTATTGTTAAAAAATCGTTCTCCAAAATTTTTCACGGACGAGGCTTTAGCTTCACTGACCTTTTACTTTTTTACAAAGGAATAATGTTTAAATCCTATTCCTTCTGTATATTTTTCCACTGGTTATAATCAGGAAAAAATTTTAACAGTTAACATTTCAATATTTTTTTTAATCTTGTAAATTTTTTATTTTAAAGTGTAACAATTTTCAACGATTGATGATGGCGCAAGGGTGCCGAAACATGTCCCAACTTGACTAAATAAAAATTTATCGATTTGTGGAGTTGACTTTAATATTACTTACTGTTTAAAACTATAAAACATCCACTTTGGGAAGAAAATGGATCGAGTTCTAGAAAAAAAAACTGCCTTCGTTAGTGTTTCGCCAATTTTGAAAAAATATTAAAAATCATTCGACTGTTTTATTTTGTGATTTCGCAATTCTTTTTGACAAAATTTAAGACAATAATGAGTTACTTATTTAGTATAATAATAAGACAATAATGATTTCAATAAATAAATAAAATGTACAAAAGTAATAACTAATAAATAAATAAATTTCTTTGTGCAAATAATGATAATAATTCATACAGGGTAATTCAGAACTCGCGCTCCAGAGAAAAATGCGAAGTAAYATMAGATTCTAAGAACATGAAAAAATGTTTAAAAAATTCAATCTTAAAAAAATTAGGCATTTATTATTGTATTTATTTTTTGTCTGTTTACTGTTGCAGATCTTTTTTATGTTTTCTCATAATTATTCAGAAAAGGTACAAAAACTTTGCCATAAAAGCCACATAACAACATTAAACATATTTACAATTCAAGATACAGCTTCTTTATTTCATGTAGAATTATTTTTCTAACAGAAATAAATAAGGTCAAAGTGTTAAATTTAAACTCCCATAAATTTGAAATTTTTATGTTATTTTTTCCATTTTTCTGGTATGTTACATATCTTATTTGGCATTTTTCTCTGAAACACCTTGTATAAATTTCGAAGATCCCTTACAAACTAGACAAAAAGTTGAGACTTCTTATTTAAAAAAAATATATAAACGTCGCTTCCTTCGTAAAGAAATATTAAAGTATCAATTAATAATGAATTATTTCCTCAGTTTGTTTGTGTGTGTTTGTGTTTAATTTTTTAAACATTTTCTAATAATTTCTTTATTGAAAAGACACGCTCAAATACTGAATTAACAATCTTCGAGTTCGTGCCTCAACCGCGCTTGTTTCCAAAGACCCAAATCAAAATTTTTCCTCTTAAATTAAATTTCAAGCCGCCTAAATCTCTTGCAAACATGGAAACAATGAATTTTTTCTCTTGTGGAGTCCTCATGCGGTCGCATCTGGCGATGTAATCACAAAGTCCCGCGACAAAGCCGCCTAATCGGTGGCTTTTGGGAGTCATCAGGGTGGTTATGATACGATTATGATTACCTTTAAAGTGGCGGTGGTCTGGTGTCAGGTGGCATGCTCGACCGCGCGGAAATGCGTGCTGGTGCGCTTCTTCTCTTCCTGCTGCTGCTGCTGCTGCTATGACGTGCGAACTGGACTGGAGCGTGCGAACCACTGCAGGTTGCGCCTTCCTGCAACCACACGACCAGAGAGTGTGCTTCTTGGGGGCACCTGCGCCTGCCATGCCGGCCCCTACCAGAAGACTCCGGATACGAGTGCGTCAATAACAGCAATTAGCAGGACCATTGTGATGGCAACTTTACCCAATATGCAAATTTTCATTTGATGGGTATTGATTGTGGACATTATGGTCTAATGAGTTAGATAAAGGAATGTCATGGGATACGGATGGGTGGGCCCATTTTTTCAAGGAAATTCTGCGTTGACAGCATATCTGGCCGAGTTTGGACTTCCCCAGACGGTTTTTTTTTTAGGTTTTTGTCTGATTTTGGAGTTCTTCCAGGATTTTTGCAAAAATTTGAACTAAATTGTAATTCTCAAACGATTTTCTTTAAATTTTTGGTCAAAAATCCACCAAATATCAACTATTTTTCCCAAAGAATTTTAACTTTCAGATTTTTGCAAGATTTTAAGTCTAAAAACGTTGAGAGATACAAAAAATAATTTATTTCTTTTTTTTCTAACATTCTTACTTCGAGTCTCTTTACTCTAAAAAACATTGCATAAATAAGCAAAACTATTTAGAGAATTTTTCCCCATTTTTTTTTCGATTTTGATTTGCTAAACTAACGGAATTTTTCTTTGTCTGATTGTAAAGATCATAAATTGGGAAATCTCAAAAAAATTAATCTAAATTCACAGCTTTGGCCGAAAATCCACTACATTTTACACAGCAGCCCAAAAAATATTTTAACTTTCCTTTCAGAGACGTCACCTTTCAAAGAATTTATGTGTAAAAACAGCGAAGAGAGACAAAAAATGGTTTATTTCTTTTTTTTTACATTCTTACTTCGAGTATGTTTAGTCAAAAAAAACATTGCAGAAATAAGCAAAATTATACAGAATTTTCTTTGTTTTTGATCAAAAAGATTAAAAATTAAGAAATCTCAAAAAATTAATCTAAATTTACAGCTTTGGCCAAAAATCCACTAAATTCTACACAGTAGCCCAAAAAATATTTTAATTTTCCTTTCAGAGACGTCATTTTTTAAAGATTATATGTGTAAAAACAGCGATGAGGGACAAAAAATAGTTTATTTCTTTTTTTACATTCTTACTTCGAGTTTGTTTAGTCAAAAAAAAAACATTGTAGAAATTAGCAAAACTATTTATTTAGTCGTTGGAGATAGAGGAATGGAACTTTTTAAAAGCAATTCTATAAGTTTTTCCTTTACCCTTTTTTATATCTTTAACCGTATTCGCAACGTTTTCAAAAAAAAGTCAAAAATAGTATTTCAATTTTGTAAAATTATTGTTGTCGGCAATACTTTTGCTACAACTTCACTACTTGCTAAGAAGTATTTAATATTTTATCGGCCAGTAATTTTTCTAAAAAACGCACTGCAAACAGTTTCGTTACTTTTTTTTGTATACACTTCCAAAAATAGTCCCTAAACTGAGTTTTTTTCGGACTCAAAAATTATTTTAATTTTTAATCCTATTTTCGAGAAATTGATCATACTAAATAAGAAGATTGAAGTATAATTTTCAGAAAAATTTTGTTTGCAACACACGTACTTAAAAAGACTCGGCTTTGCCTCGCCCGGAAAAAAACGATTCGTTCGCAAAAACAGTATTTTAGGTCTGCATTATTCATCAAAAATTTTTTCAATCTCCTCCCACAAGAGTTTTTGCATTTTTGTGGATCCCTAGAGCCATCAGGATCGCGAAAATTTGCATTTAGGGCGGTTTTGATCCAAGAATAAAAATTTTTTTTTTCATCTCTTATTTTTGGGAAAGGAAAAGGAAATAAAACACAGTTTCTGTTACATAATATATTGCATAAAGATAATACTAAAACGAATCTACTATTAATAACAGAAAAATTAAAACTAAAGTAAAAGCAAAATCGAAGAAACGGAAGCCGATGAAATCAACAATCCAAACATATTAATTCAGATGTTTTATTTATAAATATTAACCATAAAAGTTTCAACACTGTAAAAATCTATGTCCTCATTAAAAACCAAACTATACATCTCTCCCATGACGACAAAAATTGCACCATCTTTGGAAAACACGACATAAAAACGTGCATGAAAGTGAACTTGAATTTTCTACAACGCTTTAATTACGTTCTCTTTGATTTTATACAACTTAGTAGATATCTTAAACATGGGAATCTTACGCTATTTATGAAAATATAAAAAATATTATTTTCCAAGTCCGAAAATGTACATACAGTAATTTAGTCACTTACTCTAGAATGAAACAAAACAGTTTGTACCATAGATATTTTCCTCAACAAATTTTCATCCCTCTAATCTACTTCTATTTCTATTTCGAAAAATTCTTCTGACACTCCGGACTAGTCCAGTTCTCGACCAGAACTTTACAAACTGCACTCAAAGCCGATTCAGTACTTTGCAAGATATTCTGACGCAACTGCTGCTTCGCTGCTACAATACTCTAAAACAAAGCAAATAAAAACCACAAAAACCACAAAACAACAACCCCACCTGTTTCGACTGGCTCGAGATCTGCCCCAACATACTTTTCAACTCCTGTTGGTACTTCTCGGGCCAGCAAAGCCTCGTTACTAACCCCCTTCTGAACGCATCGTCGGCTTTGATAGTTTGCGACGTAAATAACAACTCGCTTGCCTTAAAACTCTAACTTAACTAAATTCATAGCAATTTTGACCAAATTACCAGTCCGTTACTGTTCAGATGTGGTACTGTGAGCAAAAAACCCGCTTCGGGTACCAAACCAAGTCGCGAGTACGGCGTACTAAACGTCGAGGTGTCACTCGCGATCACCATGTCGAAAAGCGGCAACATTGTGACGCCTAAACCGACGCACTCTCCTTGTATTCCGGCCACCAAGACTTTGGGGAAGTGTAAAAGGCACCTTAGGAAATCCCTAAACAAAACAACAAAGAAGGTTGAAACAGCTCAGTGAAATGTGATCATTGCCTAAATTTCAAATTAAAATTCTTGCAATTTCCGGGATACGTAATTAAAAAATATATTGTTTACGTAATACATACGGGTGTCCCAACTTGTTGGTAAAGTCCATTATTTACCTGATATAAAAATAAAATTTTTGAAAAATGTAGTATACAGAGGTATAAGGTATAAGATACCAAGAACATGGAAAAAATGTTTATAAAATTATATCTGTCAAAAATTTTATTTTTTGACATTTCACATTTTTTTTATTATATTTTTTTCAGATTTTTTCAATTATTCCTTATAATAAATATTACGTGAAAATAATTTCAGGTGATGCAGTGAAGGTTAATATTTATTTAATTTATTTTAATTTTAATATCTGCCATAAAATTTTGGCGTTTATTTTTTGACATTTGACATTTTTTATGTCTATTTAATGATACTGATGATCTTGTATATGTTTTTTTATAATTATTTAGTAAAGGTACAAAAATTTTGCCAATAAAAGCCACAAATAATATTAAACAGAGTTACAATTTACGATACAGTTTCCTTGTTTCCTCTTCTAATAGCCTGTAGCAAAAAAACTTATAACTTATAAAAATTATTTTTCCAACAGGAATAAATTGAGTCAAAATGCAAAATTAAACTTTCATAACTTATCGTAAGGCCTTTTTTCAACTATACAGCCGTGTCTCAAAAATAAGTTACAATACAAACTTGTGTTATTTTTTTTAATCAAATACTATATGTTTCTTGTCAGTTTTGGATGTAGTTTTAAATGTCAACGTTTTTAAGCTAAACTTCTATTGGTCGATTTTGCTTAGTTTTTGAAATAGGTTGGTCTTTTTAAAAATTTAGTACACAAAAAGTTAAGACAGCTAGATAAAAATATATTAAAAAAATAATAATGGAACACGATATTTTTAATTTTTTGCATCATAGATTAATAAATTGTCTTTTAATGTCTAGAATTGATATATTAGAAGATATTTAAATTTAAATGTTAACTGAAAATGCCTCATTGCAATGAGAATTGAATGAAATTCGAATTGCGTTAAAGAATAATAGATTCAGTGTAACATAAATGTGATTATTGAGTGATATTTCTTTCATCTCTTATGAAAATACGTACTTTTTGGCTGTTGAAATAATAATTATTTTTTTAATGTTTATATTTAGTTAAATATCTTTTTAGTTATTAATTGTAGGCACTTAACAGTAAAAATTTTTGAAAAGATAATTCCATTTAATTTTTGAAAGTTATTTAAGTTTTGACAAATATTTTACAAAATTCTTATTAATTGTTTTCCCCCAAAATTTTGTGTAAACGAGCCTTTCAATGTTAATAAATAATCACAACAATGCAGTTCATTTAATGTAGTTCCGTTTCTATTACAACGAAAATATTTCGGAATTTTTAATTCGGTACCCATAGGCGGATATATGTTTTGATATGTTATCTTTTCCAAAATTTAAATCAAATTTGAAAGCTTTTATTGAAAAATGACAAATAGAAAACATGTATTATTTATCGAGATATTACATATTAAATTTAACACACATATTGCTGATACACCCTGTATATTTTCGTAAAAGAAACCAATTTATTTTAGAAACTAAGCAAAATCGACCAATAAAAGTTTAGCTTAAAAACAATGTATGCCAAAAAATATGATGTTCCATTTAAAAAAAACATAAGTTCGTATTGTAACTTATTGTTGGGACACGCTGTATAGTTAAAAATAATTTTCGGGCGATGTTTTAGTTTAGGTAGTACTTATCAATTTCCTATACAGAGTGCGTCAGAACTCGCGCCCCAGAAAAAATGCCATATAAAGTAAGATACCAGGAACATGGAAAAAATGTTAAAAAAATTCTATCTATAAAAATTACGAAGTTATGAGAGTTTAAATTTTGCACTTTGACTCCATTTATTTCTGTTGGAAAAATAATTACCCAAGTTTTTTCGCTACAGTCTATTAGAAGAGGAAACAAGAAAGCTGTATCCTGAATTGTAACTCTGTTTAATGTTATTTGTGGCTTTTATTGGCAAAATTTTTGTAGCTTTACTAAATAATTATTAAAAAACATATACAAGATCATCAGTATCATTAAATAGACATAAAAAAAATGTCAAATGTCAAAAATAAATATCAAAATTTTTTGAGAGAATTTTTTAAACATTTTTTTCATGTTCCTGGTATCTTTATCTTACTTGAAATTTTTCTCTGGGGTGCAAATTTTGGCGCACCCTGTATAAAGGTTTAAAATTTTTAATAACTAAAAATCAATAATGGACTTTACCAACTCCCTAGAACAGCCTGTAAAAAACATACTTAACTAACGCCACCACCTCATTGGCTCTCTTCTTCCTCCCACCCTCATCTTCCGCCACCAACGCTCTATAATCCAGCCCTTCACAAAACGACTCGCTATTATCAGCCGTTATCGACACCACATGACAACTATCATCCTCTCCAAACTCCTTCAAACACACCGTCAACTCCTTCAAAACCTCTTCGCTCAAATAACATTTCCCATCAATGTTTAGTAAATTAATCGATACCAATTTATTTTTTTTAGTTGCCGTGAACGACTGGTACTGTCCCATTGTCTTATCCACATGATTCGCCTTAACATCATTATTGTTATTTTTCGCTGTTTCTTTGGGTTTTTCCGTCTTTTTTAACTTTTTCTTCGGCGATTCGACAGATTTCTTTCGCGTTGTCCGCTCTTCACCCTCTTCATCGTCAATTTCATCGTTGCTCGAGAATGAACTGCTTGAATGTCGACGAATGATACGTGAGGCTTCCGCTGCGTTATAAGGAGGCGACGAGGGGGGACTATGAACCGAACTCTGGGCCGAATCTTTCGATTTTTTCCGCGTTATGCCGCTAGGAGTCGCCACTTTGGCGTCTTTCTTCGGGGGCGAAGTCACTTCTTTCTTTCGTAACGACTTTTGACCACTCGTGTTCTGCTGAAGATCGTTCTTGATAACGCTAGTTTTACTCATCAATTCTTTGTGCGCCTTATCTAAACTGATAACAGATTTGGTATTTTTCTTCTTTTGTTTATCAGGACTCGTTTCTTCATTAGTCTTGACATCATAAAGCATATTAACAGCTCCTTCGTCCATTAGTAACTTATCAACTTCAGTCAAACGTTTCGGTTTTTTAACCGGTGAAGCCTTCAAGATTTTTTTCACCGGCGAGACAGTTTTCTTCTCAGGAGATTTCTCCTTTTCTTCTTTCTTTTCGACCGGTTTAACCGGAGGTTCAGCTTTTGGGGATTTAACAGGGCTTTTGGCCGGGACCTCATCAGGGTCCCAAATGACTTTCCTCTTAATTACACGCGAACTTTTCGTTATGTACACGTTAGTTGGTGTGCTGCCATCCTCAGATTTAATCTGTGTTGCCACAACTGTTTTTTTGGTTGGCAAAATCGACTCTAAATCGAATGATTTGCGTTTCCGAGTGTACGTTTTTATGACCATATCTGTTTTAAGCCTAGGTTCCGCTTCCACTGTTTTTTTCTCAGGGCTAGGTTTCTGTGGTGACGGTGGTTTAACCTTGGAAACTTCCTTCTGAGGACTTGCAGGGCTTGCCGGTTTGTCACTCTCACTCCGACTCTTGAAAATCTTATTTTTTCCAGGCAATTCTTTCAGTTGTTGTAAGGCAATTTCTTTTTCTGTGATTTTAGCCATTTCTTTCTTCTCCTCTTCGGTTTGTTTCTTCTTCAATTCGACGTCTTCGTCCACACCTTCAAGAATCGCAATCAAATCCGAATTATTCTTGATTTCTGACGAATTTTTATCGTTTTTCTCTGAAGTGGTGGCTTCTTGGGGCTTCGTTTCGGCTTTTTCTTTCTCACTTAGTTTTTTGGCTAGACGTTGTGTTAATTTCCTGGCGAATAAAATATCGCCACTGTTGGTTGAGTTTTGCTCCTGTTTCAATTTGAAACGTTCCATGATTTCCTTCTCGATTTCCTCTTTGGAAACTATCTGACTCGTCAAATTTTTGTAAGGGACCTTCACACCTAGTCTAGGTTTGGGCATAGAACGACCCCCATTTGATACACCTTCAGTCGGTTTGGTTATATCGCGCCCCAAAACGTGGAGAGGAATGTCACTGATGGGTTTACGCCCCCTTTGCTTCTTAGGCTTCCGTTCTTTCAATAATTCTCTATCTTCAGACGGATCATCAACATTTTCATTATCTTTAGTCATCAAATAAATCTCTTCTCTGTACTCTTGAGAATTCTCATCAGTTGTCTCACTTTCCTCCAGATGTTCTATAGTGATTTCAGTTTGGGACTCGTCCGGATTAATAATAACAACAGTCTCGCTGGTGGGGTTACTCTGAGCCAAATGTTCTGCGATTATTTCATGAGTTTCAACTTCCTCAGCCTCAACAACAGTGTACTCCAGGTCCTCCACAACTTCGCCGATTACTGGCTCCTCAGGCTTCAATTCCCTAATTTCAATTGATTCTTCAGGTTTGTCAAGCTCCGTAGTTGGGTCTTCAACCACTTCATCGACAGCTACCTCGGATTGTTGACTTGAGGGCTCCTCAACTGCCGTTGTCTCCTCACTAATTAGAGGTTCACTTTCTTTTTCACCTTCGGGAGTCTCCACTTGTTGCTCAACCTTTTCTTCAGTCACAGTGTTTATCACAGTTTCCTGTACAACTTCCGGTTCAGGTGGAGGAGCCACCTCTTCTGCGACTTGACTTGGAGTCTCCTCCGTTACTTCTTCTTCTTCTTCAGTAAATTCAGCTGCGATTTTCTCCCACGTTAATTCCTTGTCACTAGTCACGTCTTTATCACTATGAGTGAGTTCACTAGCACTGTTTAAGTCTCCAGAAACGCCCTCCTCGTGCTTGGGGGAAGCCTCGGGCTGACTCTCATTTGTGTCACTCACTGCGGCTTCCATTTTACCACCTYGAAACAAACCGGAACAATRCRAATAAWTTCTTCGCCGATACTTAAAAATGTAAACACCAGGWCATTATTTACAAAACAATTCAATTACCTTATTAGATAACGTTTCCGTGTCGATATTTCCAAACAAACGTTGTTTCAAGGACCCAAATGTGTCTCAAAGGGATTATAGTACCAGTCTGGATAATCCCCAGTCTTTATTTCATATTTTTTTCCTCTAAATTTCGGGAAAATAAAGCCTCGCTACCAATGCGTCCACTATTACCAAAAACGCCATCTTGCTTTTCCGAAACGTCACCACCAATCACACATCGAGCCAATCACGAAACGGATTTTTGGACACGTCGCTCGTTATTGGTCGCGCACATAGCGCGTGGTTTAAATCAAATATTTTTTTTAAAACAATGTGGAAAAAAATTGAACGTGACGCATCAACAAGTTTCATTTATCGCGCGACGGAAATGCACTGATTGAATTAAATTAGTTCAGTGGTAGCGCCGACAAGTTCTGCGGGAAAATTACCTAAATTTGGGGTTATTACCGCTTTAATAAGTAAAGTAGGTTACTGAGTAATATTTGAAGCGATCGAAAAGTAGGTTGATCTATTTTGCATCATATAAATAAGGGGGTTCAGTGCACTGATTCACTTGCAGTCCAGTTGCATAAAATGAAGCTCTTGTTATTTGTTGTGCTGGCGGTCGTTGTCGCCTGTATGTGGGGGTGTGAGGCGTTGCCGGTTGGCAGTCCTGAAACGGTTTGTATTTTCAGTGTGAGGGTTTTTCGTAAATGTTTTTTTTTTCAGGCGATTGAACTTATGGCGCAGATCCCCCAGTGGCACTGTATGAGATATAGGAAGTTCGAGCTTGTGAGGCGATGTCGAGGCTACAAGAACAGTTTAAGACGGCTTTAGTTAATTTATTTATTACATGTTTTTTTATAAATGTAGGTTTAGTGTGTTTAATAAAATTTTGTCTGAGATTCGGGTGTGATTGAAGGACGAGTCTACTAAAACTTAAATATATTTACACCATGAATACACTCAACAACTCATGTAAAAAACGCCTGAGCCGCTGCTTTCGGTTAGTGGAGTTACAGTCAGGTTAAAACAATAAAAAAGTGAACAAAAAAGTGTCAAATCAACGGTAAAACAACAACACAAGCCACGGTTTCATGATACACAAAATGAAACATTTCTTTTTTTAAACATTGTAAACAACAAATAACATATAGATTATATTACACACACTACGGTTGGTCTTAGGTCCATGACACAGTGGGATGAGTAGTAAACGGAATGTTTACTTAATAGTGAGGGTCTCTGATGCAGAGAAACTAAATGCACTCATTCGGCGGGGCGAGAGTGCCAACACCTGCCCTATACCGATATCTCATAGTTCATGTCGTAGACACTGGTCCTGTCTGGGGTGGCCGGCCTCTGGGGCATGTGCGAACACTGCGAATTGGGGGGCGTCAACTCGACCGAATCGGACATCTCTAACGCCCTCACGAACGACATGGGCCTTCGCCGGTTGTCCGGCACAGTGGGGGTCCCCACGCCGCCCTTCCGGTGCACCTGCAACCCCCCAAACTCCTAATTAACCACGTTTTGACGCGGTCTGTTGTTCGCCCTCACCTGCGGACTCTGCGGGGGGTACACGGCGACGCCGCCACGCACGGCCGGGTGGTAGGGCCGGGGGGCGTACGCCTGCTGCGTGGGGCTAGTGGGGTTGGAGCGGTAAAAATCCGGGTGCTGCGGGGGCGGGTACCCTGGCGAGGTGTCCTTCCACATGTACACTCCGCGTTGCGGCGAGTTGGCCAATTCGCGGATGTTGTCCACTGTGTTGTTGGAACGGGGGTAGGAGAGCTGCGCCTCCTGGCGGACGAGTTCACCCTCGGACATGAAACGGCGCTGGGGGCTGCCGTAGCCTTGAGACATGACAGGGCGCTGGGTCGAGTTGGGGTGCGCTTGGAAGTCGTAGTAGTTGCCCGGCTGGTGGTTGGCGGAGACGCCGATGAAGTCGGGCCTTCGGGGCTGCGTGGGGGTGCTCGGATTGGATCTGCGAAGAGCAAGCGAGCTACAAAACTAGCAAATACACAGGAAGCAAAGCGGAGATCAGGTACACCTGAAAGAGGGCAAGTTGCAGAAAATTGTGCAAAAATGAACAAAACCCAGAAAATAAGTCGTTTGGAATTGTTGCTGGTGGTGCAAATAGAACACTCGTACTCTACCTGACAAAAAATTCAATTTTTGGTCAATTGTGTCGCATGAAAGATCTTTGTTCTCGAGGACTCCAATACCTGAAATTTACTCATGATTAACTATAAAAGAAGTAACTTTATGTGAAAAATAAAGTGAGTGAATAAGACAAAACAAGAACAAAGAGCTTCCATTTCATTATAAATAATATGATAACAAAAGACAAGCGTGACAGAAAAAAAGAAATCTTTACTAAAATTTGGTGATTTTTTTTTCACTATGACGTTTTGAAAAAAATGGAATAATCCTTCAGCGTTTTAAAATAATATGTAAATATGTTGCGTTGGCATGCCTGATTTAAATTAAAACTTATTTGTAGTAGACTAAACACGTTTTTTTCTTATTTTAGTGTCCAATTAAAAATTATTAATGAAATAATAAACAAAAAATAAAATATTACTACATGATTTTTTCACAAAAACGGATAATAACATTTTTTCGTCACGTTGGTACGACTGATTTCAAATTTTCAAAGCGCAAAACCCCACAAACAAATCCGAACGCAGGTAATTTGACAGATAAGACGGCGTGTGATAAGAATGAAAATTAAATATGGCCACTACTGATAACGTGAAAATTTTCACTACTTGACTTAGGGAACTTTACTTAAGTCACTAAAATAACTAACATTTTGCAAATTCCAACGCCGCCTTGTGCAGTTTATTTTCTTTAAGAAAACGTCAAAGGTGGGTAAATACACATTGCAACGAATACAAATTCCGCATTCAAAACCACAAATGTAAATAATAAAATTATTTATTATCCATTGTTTAAGTCATGGGACATAAAAATTTACCAACAACTACGTTCGTTGTTTACATCAGTCCTTGACTGTCAAAATGCCGACACATGACTTTTTTTCCGAAAATAAACCAACCAAAGTCCAGCATCGTCACTTTGTCAATTGAATTCGAGACAATTGTAAAAACCGTTCAATGATTCGTTTAAAACCACACATTTTATAACACAACCCCCTCACCTCCTCACAGGACTAGACATTGCTAACGGCGTCGGCACCCCCAGCGCCTTAATCCGCTGCTGCATCGTCGGCGACGGCCTCTGTGGCCCCAGACTCTCCGGCGTGCCGCTCCGATTCGGGTCTAACCCTCGTGGCCTAGGATGGGGGCTGCTTCGCGGGTAGTGAACACCGCGGGGATGTCTCGGCGAGTCGCCTTCCATAGGCGGCAGAAAAAAGTTACTTTTGGAACCGTGTCGCTGGAGCGGGGGCGTCGGCTCACAATCCTGCGATTGCGACGCCGACGGCTCCATGTCCAGTTCGCAGCCGTCGCGACCGGGAGACAACTGCAACAAAAATCAAAGTCTTGAGGAAAACACAAATTATAAAAAAATACTTTGTTGTAGGCGTTGGAGTTGATGTTGCGGATGCCGTTACTGTTATCCATGTAGGTCTTGACCTGACTGTCGTTTGTTATAGTCGCGATGGGGCCGTGGGGACAGTGCTTGCGCTTCACGTTGTATTTGTGGGGCTTTATGAGGCTGCAACAAAAGGGGTGTAGTTGGCTACGACCATTTGACAGACTTCAGAAAAATTAATTAAATCAAGCGTGGTCTTAGATAATTCAAAATAATTGAAAAATAAAAAATAATAATTGAAAACACGAGAAAGTGTTTAGAAGAGAGTGTTTTTGCCTAAAAAATAAATAATAAACTAATTTGACAGACTGTCAAAATTACGCAGCATGCTTTGTTTTACCACCTGTTTGAYTTATTATTAATTATATAATTTTAGGGGATTRTGCCAGTTGTGTAGTGTAATCACCTTGGGAACTGGGGGCCAAACTGCGTGTAGCAACAATTATCCCAGCAGCCCCTCGAGAAGGGGTTGTAGCCGCCCTTGAATTTGCCCGTGACTTGTTCATTGGTGGTCCTTCCTCTCGAGACCAGAACCATATGAAACCCTGTTAAGCCAAAAATCGGTATAGCTAACAAAGCCACCAAACCCATTAAGACAAAACTGAGAAAAATTAAGGTAAAATTAGCTAGAATGCTGAAAATTTGTAACTAAAAAATTGAAAAGGATACGCAATAATTGGTTCAGCGTTGGAGAAAGTATCACCATATTTGAGGATGTAAATTAGACTTAAAGTAAATATACTGATCATGTGTAAGCTAAGTGATATGAGAAAGAAAAAGAAAAATCGGTAATTTCTTCTTCCAATGCAATTGTTGACCCATGGACAGTGGTGGTCAAAAGTCTGGAAAAATCCGGATTTTAGTCATATTTTCAGTTAAAATCACCCAGAACTCACTTCTATGCAATGGTTGCAAACACTACAATGTGAACATCTCGGTGGTCTGTAAAACTTGCAAGTGACGCACCATTTCATCCTCACCGTGATCCCGTTTATCTCGACATTTTTGTACAAGGGGGCCCTAAAATCGTCTTCGCGGTCTTCGTCAGGGGGAGCTAAAACACGGCGTGAATTAACGCTACTTGGGACTGTTTCGCACCTTTTGGTATGACTCCCGGGTCCATGAACGTAGCCAGGGTGAAATTGGCCAAGACGAAGAACGTGATCACACCTTGGTATGCGGGGACCCATGGATAATCCTCCAAATAGTATCGGGCTCTAACAAGCGTAACGTTTGCCTAAATTTGGTAACATAAACATTGACAAGAATAACTCACGGGTAGTAGAAGAACAACGTCGTGGCTACCAACAGTAAAGTCCAAGCAAAAGTCGCTGGTATATATCTGGTTTTTACATCGCACTTGGGCATAATGTTTTTTTACTAAAAACAACCTCAAGATCTCGCGCAAAACTCGAAATTTCTCCTCAGACAGGCCAACATGGCTGAGACAAACGGGAGAAGTTATCGTTCGTTGCCCCTGTCAAACTCATCTGACAATTGACAAAAACGGGGAAAAAACAAATTCCCCATGTCACACAATTTTATATCGATTTTTCGCACCAATTACACAAATTATAGCAAACGGAAAAACTCAAACACTAATTAAAATGTCACTAATTTATATTTTTTATACAAAAATTCGATAATGGGCAAACACTTAAAAGTTGCGCATGCGTCTTGAGAGGTTAATTGACATTGTCAAATGTAAGGTTATATCCATGTTTATGTCAAACTTTAAAAAATGAGCACCGGGTCAAAACGTACAATTTACGTTGGTGGTCTTGCCGAAGAAGTCGATGATAAAGTCTTAAACGCGGCTTTTATTCCCTTTGGGGACATTGTCGACATTCAGATCCCTCTAGACTATGAGACAGAAAAGCACCGGGGGTTCGCTTTCATCGAATTTGAGAGCGCCGAAGACGCTGCTGCTGCTATTGACAATATGGTAAAACCAATCTGGAATTATCGACGATTTAATGACTGTTTTAGAACGACTCTGAGCTTTTTGGGAGAACCATCAGAGTTAATTTAGCCAAACCACAAAGAATTAAGGAGGGCTCAACACGGCCTGTTTGGTCTGAAGACTCCTGGCTGCAGCAACACGCAGGGGAGACTATTGGCAAGACAATTAACGATGCTGATGATGAAACTAAAGAGGCCACAGATAACGTAAAAATCGTCATTCTTTTTAGATTTTTTTTAATTTGATTTTCTCAGAATGCAGACATAAACGAAAGCAAAAAAGTGAAAAACCCTCAAGTTTACTTTGATATTAAGATCGGCAAGACTGAAGTTGGTAGAATAACAATGCTGTTGCGAGCTGACGTTGTTCCCAGGACTGCAGAAAACTTTAGATGCTTGTGCACCCATGAAAAGGGCTACGGGTTTCAGGGCTCTACGTTTCACAGAATTATTCCAGACTTTGTATCCTTTAAGCCCTAAAAAACTTTTTTTAACATTTTTAACAAATTATGAGTTTCTTAATGACGATTAGATGTGTCAAGGTGGCGATTTTACCAACCATAATGGAACAGGAGGGAAATCGATTTATGGTCGGAAATTTGTTGACGAAAATTTTGAACTGAAACACGTGGGTCCTGGCACATTATCAATGGCGAATTCAGGACCTAATACTAATGGATCGCAATTTTTTATTTGTACATCAAAAACTGATTGGTTGGATGGAAAACACGTGGTTTTTGGGCATGTTATAAGTGGGATGGATGTTGTGCGAAGAATGGAAAGATGTGGGACCAAGAGTGGGACTCCCACGGAAAAAGTTGTGATTGCAGCGTGTGGAGAAATACAATGAAAATAAAAAAACGTTTATTTTGTATTTTACTAAAGAAAATTAAGAAAAAATAAAAACAAGATTCACTAAAGGGGAATTTTATTTTTATGCACCTAGTAATGTTTTTAAGTAACAAAAACATTTATTAAATATGTATTTTAAATATCCAAAATTCTTCCCTCCTCCATTATCAACCGTTTTGACTCAAAAAGTTTCCAACAGGACGCTGTAATTTTTGATTTGAATCACATGTCAAAATTTTTTGACAGAATTTTTTAAACATTTTTTTAACTCTGGGAGACTACCCAATTACATACTTCCTTTCAAGGAAGTGCGCGACTCTCCGGACTTCGTGTTTAAATAAGGTAAATAAACAATAAGAAGGTAAAAAAAACTTGTCCATGACAACTTTGGTAAAACCACAGGGTAAAACCGCTAAAAACCCTGTTTTTCAATTGAAATGGAGCGTAGAAATTTGTACTGGGATAGATTACTACATTACCGGCACTGTCGTACTCATTCATCAAGTTTGAGGTTATATTTAACCGCAGCATGTTTTTATTTTGTTAAATATCAGAACTAGCTTTATTTAATTCAGTCACAATGAAGAATAAACCGATTCGTCACAAAGATTCAAACACATTTAAGGTACAGTTTAGAAAAAATGGGTTAGCTTAGGAGCCCCTTTAAACTCTTGTTTCTAGTTCCAACCCTTTGCGGAACGCATCGCTAACATCGACATAGACATTTTCCATCGAGTGGGGCACATCAATGAAGCCGACGACGAGACTTCTGAATGCTTTTTCCACCAAGCAATGGAAAATTGGAGCATTTTAAACCTAACTGAAAGCTTTGACAATTTCAAGAAAGAAATCAAGGCTCACACTTTAGTCACACTTCCCCAGCTTATTTTAGACAAGGAACGCGTGGTTGAGGTACTTTTAAAGCATCTGAGGTTGCGAAATCCTTTATCATTACAACCACTACTTGAGTAAGTTTTTTTCAAGTTAAGAAAAATTAAAAAACTATATTTTTTCTAGTCTTGTCGTAGCGGTCGCGAAAGATTTACGTAAAGACTTTTACGAGTATTACAAACCCGTTCTTGGGGTTTTAATCAGTTTACTAAACACCAAAAACACAGAACAACTTGAATGGACCTTCACTTGTCTCGCTTATATTTTGAAATTTGTATGGAGGCCCCTTCTCAAAGACATCTCAACAGTCTTCGACACCTTCCTCCCACTCTTATCAAACTCCCAACCGGATTATATTCACAATTTCGCGGCAAGTAGTTTTGCTTTTGTTGCTAGAAAAGTCAAAGACTGGCTTAGTTTTCTCTCCCACATTCTCAAAACGGTAAAAAATCGTAAAGATGGGATCGAGGGCTGTGGAAAATTATTTTTCGAGGTAATTTCGGGAGTCGCAGGCCAGTTTCATAGCTGCGCTGAGACAGTTTTGCCACTCTTTCTTGAAAGTCTCTCAAATTCGAAATTCCCCCAAAGTGTGCTTTTTGAAATTTTGGAAAAAGTCGTGGAAAATATCGTCGAGAATATTCAACCACAGAAGGGGCAACTGTGGTGGGACTGTCTTATCGGGCGACTTGATTCGTTAATAAACAATTGGAAAAACTCAAAAGGGGAGAAAATTGCAAATGAAATTGAACTCGTTTTGAGATTATTGGGACAAAGTGTGGAGTACCGAAACGGGAAATTTTTGCAAAATAACCCTCCAGTAGTTAGACTCATTTTTGACATTTTTAATTGCGATTTCCCCTATTCTGTACTTCACATAGCCACTAAAATTGCAATTTTATTATTACTAGCGAAAAACATAAAATTGACACAAGAACAAGCCGCGGGGATTACCCGAAAAGTTCTAAATTCGGCTCAAGAGGACATTTTGTTATATTTTGTATCAAACGTTTCAGAGTTTTCGGCTTTTGAAGCTTTGGTACTTCCCACATTTTTGCAACATTGTGTAAAAACTGGTTTAAATAATGACAGTCTGAAAGTGTTAACAGAGTTAATCATGAAAAAGGCACCACTTTCCGATTGCGGTATTAATTTACCCAAATGGGGCAAATACCCTCTCGATTTTAGGGACAACTCAATTGAAAAAATTTTTCTCAACTATTTGAATTTTAGTGATTTTGATAATTATGTTGCCGCTCTGATTTGCGTGCCACATTTAAATTTGTCAGAAGTGTTACAAGTCGTTGAGATTTTGACAAAAAATATTTCAGAGTTTTTGTTCAAAATTGAAACAGAAAAATTAAACAAAGTTTTATTCCTTTTAATTAATACAATTGAGTGCCTGATTCATTTAAACGAAATTAATTACTTGAGTGACAATTTTGAGCGAATTTTTGACACTTTATCACCATTACCGAGTTTATTTGCGTTAAAAACTATTGATTTTCTCATTACGGTTCTTAAGGACCGCCCACATGTCATAAACATGGCAACGTTGCGTAAAATTACCACCAATCTCGTGTCAGGGTTTAATTCTCCCCATCACGAAATTCGCTTAGTTACCGCCCACCTCTATTCCTTTTTCGAGGATTTGCCAGAATTCGACTTGAGACACTCCTCCGATCCAGACACGCCCAAAGAAAAGTTTCAAATTTTTTCGATTTGTTACAAAATTGAATCGATTGAATCTCAAGTACAAACATATAGAGATCAACTGCAAAATTTAGAGAAACTCAATTTTGATAAACCTCAAATGATTATGTGTCTCAAAACCGAATTTCGAACAATTCCTTTGAGGTACTTGTGTGGCACACTTTATATTAATTTCAAGTTATTGTGGGAACCAGTGATTAAAATAATTGAGACTCACGCACACGGATTGGAGATTGGGGAGTTTTGGGACGTGTTTGGGGCGGAGTTACGGACAGTAGTGGGACGGGTTAGGAACGAGGGGGAGAAAAGGGAGGAGTTTGAGGTGAAATGGGAGGTTTTGAACGAGTTGTGGAGAAGGAGTGGGGAGTTAAGTTCAGGGCCGGATTACGCAAATTATAGACTTTTGTTATGGAAGGCTTTGAGTTTATTTCCGGATATAGCGGAAGCGAAAACTAGGGATGTGTCAGAATTGCTTCTAGATTTTATCGAGTGAGTAATTTTGTTTACTACTAAACGAAAAACAAATATTTTTTCAATTGACAGAAAGGAGTATACAAAAAATAATTCAGCAGTGGCCACTAAATGGAATATTAAACAAAATACCGGTCAGGAAACAACAACAGAAGATTTAGAAGATGAAAAAGAAGAGACCAAACCGAAAAAAGGGAAATCGAACTTGCAGTACGTTTTTGTGTTTTTTTTTTTTGTTCTTTCTATAGTTTGGATTGTTTAGGACTTTGCTCACGTTTCTACCAGTTTTTACCAAAATTCGAAGTCCAAAATCGATGTACCGGGAACCCGAACTTGCCAAACTCTATTTCGACTTCCTCCAACACAAAAGTCCAGAAGTCCAAAAACTTGCATTGGATTGCATAATGACGTACAAACACAAATTTTTGACACCGTATAAAGACCACTTGTATAATTTAGTCGATGATAAAAATTTCAAAAATGAGTTGGCAGCCTTTCAAATCGATAAAGACAGTGGAATTATACAGGAGGATCATCGTGACGATTTAATACCACTAATCATCCGTATTGTCTTTAGTAAAATGAGTACTAAAACCGGTTTAAGGACTGGCGGGAAGTCCTCGGGTCAATTGAGACGCAATTTAGTACTCCGGTTTTTGGCCGGTTGTCAAGACAAAGAAATGTTAACTTTCGTCAAAATGGCGTTTCAGTACTACTCGAAATATTTGGACGACGATCCCCAAGTCATGATTAAAGGACTCGAGTCCATAACTTTAGAGAATTACATTCCTCCGAAAAGACTCCAAAGTGCCATAAACCTTCTTAATGTCATACTTGACCAGTTTGGAGGCTTGATGGGAGTTGAACTCTTGACGTTCATACTTCAAATAGTACTAATGATCGGAGGAGTACTTAAACTCGCTTTTGATCAAATCGGAAACGTCCATACCGGCTACTTTGCTATTTTGAGGACTTTGAGGACCAACACAGTGAAACTAGTGGAACGTTTCTTTGGACAATTTGATCGTTACCCGTGGACTAACAAACAAATTAATGCTATTTTCCAATTGTTTGTTTGGCCTTATTTGGATAAATTGAACATTGAGGGTATACATAGTCCTACCACTTTATTAAAACTGTTCGTTCAGTGGGGTTCCAACCCTCGATATTTCTCCCTACTTGTCAAACATGAGGATGGTAGACAAGACCAGTTTATCTTACCGCACGTTATTCGATTGTTACTCAATCCCAAGAGTCACGTGACTGTTATTAACGCTATAGAGGAAATGATTGAGAAGTTGTTGACTCTACAAGCCGACTCTGAGGATTTACAGCTGGTAATCCCAGTAGATAACCTCCTACCAGTCCCTCAACATATCCTCGATCGGATTAAACTAGACGACAAGTTAAACTACGGAAGTTGTATACTTTTACCTTTCGTATCTTCGATTCTCGAGAAGATCCAAAGACGTTTAGATGGGAAAAACAAGAATTTGAATCAGAGGGAACTTTTCATCTTGTCGAGGATATCAGAATTGGTCTGGGAGGCCGACATTAGTGACACCACTCTCAAATTATTACTTCCACTAGTGTTGAAACGTTGCTCCTCTTCCATTGGTGAAGAAGTTGTAGTTCAATTATTAACAACTATTACTAACCTAGTGGGTAATGTTACCAACCCTGGTGTACATTTGAAACAGATCACTCCTTTATTTGGCGAAGTTAGTTCTGCTTCCGGTCGAAAAATCCTACTCAAAGTGATTAAAATATGTTTGAAAGAGTTTGGACCCGATTTGGTTGAAGGTTTGAACGCCTTTGATACCAAATGGTTGGACCAACCGGATTTCCAACGCCGACATGACTCTTTCAAAGAAGTACATAAGGCTATAGATGAGGGAAAAATTGATTTGGAAGTTGGCATTTTGCTAGTTTATAATTGCTACTATTTGCTTAAAAGTGAGAAAGATTTATCAATGAAAGAGAATTCGTCACATTGTTTAAAACAGTTGTGTCCTTACTTGATTACCAAGTATCCAAAACAAGTAGACTACATCTTAAATGATACTATTTTTAACTTGATCAGGTCGGGAATGAAGAGCCGAAATGACGACTTTCGGAACGACTGTATCTTATTATTAGGGCATTTGGCAAAAGAGTGTTCTGAAAGTCACGTGGTGTTGCGCGATTTGAACAAATACACCAATAAGAGTGACTCTGAAGTCGATTTTTTCGAAAATATTACACATTTGCAACTCCACAGACACGCAAGGGCTTTACTCAAATTTTGCTCAATAACGAAAGATTTGACCAACTCGCCCAATATTCGCACTTTGACACAATTTATTTTACCCTTGGCTTCCCACTATCTGTGTAATGAGAAATATGTGGGTAAAAATAGCGTCATTGATGCTTCTATTGAGTGTTTAGGGACAGTCTGTAGGATTTTACCCTGGCACCAATACGAAAGTCTCTTGAAATTTTACTTGAGGAAACTAGGGAGGAGTGTTGAGTACCAGAAACAGTTGGTTAGAGTGACTGTGGCGATTTTGGATGCTTTCCATTACGATTTATGCAAGGCACAAGTTGGTGAAGATGTAGCTCCAAGTGGTGAAAAACCTCAAGTTGAAGATTTAGGCCCGGAAACTGGTCTAGAACGTGGGGACGTGCTTGAAGATGAGGAAGAGGAACCACAGAGTGGTGACAATTTAATGGTCCAGAGTGAGGAAAAAAATCAAAGTGAAGATTTAGACGAGGAACCACTTTTGGATGATGAAGACGATCAAGGAGACGAGGAAGAGGATCCAGACGATGTCCAAAACGTGAAACTGTGTGAAAAAGTGACAGTTTTATGTAAATCAACAGCGATGAGAGTGACTCGAAGTATTCAAATCGTGCTATTGCCCCAATTACACAAATCTTTGGCCCAATTGACGCACTATGACGCTTCACATAAAGTCAATCGGAAGAAAACAAGTGCCGAACGCGAGGAGGAAGATTTATTACGAGTACCAATATCTTTGGCTTTGGTTAAGTTGTTGCAAAGATTACCGAAAAAAATTCTTGAAGCTAATTTACCTGGGTAAGTAATAAATACCAATAGTGGGTTAGTTGTAATTCCGATTTTTTAGTATTTTTATGAAGATTTGCACTTTTTTGAAGTCACATTTGGAGAGTGTTCGACGTGTTACTCGAGAGACGTTACAAAAAATAATGCAGACGTTAGGTCCAGATTATTTGGGGTTGCTTTTGGGCGAAATGACGCCACTTTTGAATCGCGGGTTCCAAGTCCATGTTCTCGTATTTACAATTCATGCAGTCCTCAATTGTCTCAAACCAAAGTTTGAGCCTTCTCACATTGATAAAATCCTTCTGACAGTGTTACAATTGTGTCAAGCTGATTTGTTTGGGAGTCTTTCAGAGGAGAAAGAAGTCGCGAAAATTGCAGTCAAGACTTCTGAAGCTAAAACCACTAAAAGTTTCGATACGTTCCAAATTTTGGCACAGTACATCACCGACAAGTGTCTCATGGATCTCATTCTACCAATCAAGAACGTCCTGCAAAACTCACACTCATACAAAACTGTGTATAAAGCACAGGAGTGTCTCCGTCACGTGGCTTTAGGTCTGGTCGATAACGAGTTTGTGGACACTAAATCACTCTTAATTTTTGCCTACGGTACTGCTTCTGAAAGCATACCAGAACTAGTCGCCCAAAACAAACCCCAATTGAGCGACAAAGAAAAACAAAAGAAACAACGCGAGCGAGTCGATTGTTACATTATACCCAAAGCGCCATCTGGTCGTTTTGGAGTTCGCAATGCAAAGTCATCATTGAAAACAAACGCGCATTTATTAGTCGAGTTTGGTTTGCGTCTTTGCTTTGTCCTCCTGAAGCGCGAAAAATTAAAAGACCAGGTTTTTAACCCTTTTCTTGATCCTTTTATCCCCGTTTTTCTCAACTGTCTCACCTCTAAACACGTCAAGTTGAGCACTTTGACCCTTCAGTGTCTCACGTGGGTTATGAAGTACGACTTGCCCTCACTCAAAGACAAAATCGGGTCTATATCTTCAAATATCTTTAAAATTTTGCACAAATACGCTTCTGCTGGTCTCAGCAAAGGCGATAATTTTGACTTGGTGGTCGCCGGATTTAAGGTAAGAAGCCCCGTGCTGGGCGCCAAAATTCAAACACTGTTTTTCAGGCCATGGCGGTGCTTGTCCGTGATGTCAAATATCATACTATCGATACGAAACAATTGAAGGTTTTGTTGTTGTATGCCGAACAAGATATGCACGATCATGACCGACAAGCTACAGCTTTTAACCTTCTCAAGGCCATTATAGCTAGGAAGCTAATCGTTCCGGAGATACACGAAGTGATGGCGAAAGTAGCCGAATTGAGTATAACGTCGGAGTTGAGTCACGTGAGGGCCCAAGCAAGAGTTGTTTTTCATCAGTATTTGTTGGATTATCCTTTGGGTCACAAATTGGAAAATCATGTTTCGTTTTATTTGAATCAAATGAGCTATGAGATGCAGTATGGACGTGAGTCGGCCATTGAAATGATCAGTACTTTGATTTCTTCGTTTCCTAAGGTTGGTAGTTCTGTGGGTTATTTTCATTGTTTTTAATTAATTGTTTTAGAAAATTTTGATAAAATATTCGGGGACGCTTTTCGTGACATTGGGGGCCCGTCTGGTCAACGACGAGGCACCTGAGTGTCGCAAACAAGTCTCCGAGTGTCTTTCTTCACTGTTGTCAAGAGTAGGAAGAAAAGACAGTGAAGCATTATTCGATATTGTTCTTGTGTGGTTCAAAGATAAGAAGATAAGTCATCGCCGACTTGCCGCTCAATTGTGTGGTGTTTTTGTGACAGTTGAGAAGACTTTGTTCGAATCACGTCTACCAACTCTTCTTCCTTTAGTTTTGAAACAATTCAGATTAAAAGAAGAAGATGATGAAGAAACGGAACGGATCAAGGATCATCACTTGTTTCAAGTGTTACAAATGTTACTCAAAATTTGTAATAACTGTCCCAATTTCTTCAAACGTGAAGAAATTGAAGATTTGAGTAAACACATACAAGGGTTGTTGGGGTACCCTCATGATTGGGTTAGATTAGCTGCGGCTCAATTCCTCGGTTTCGTATTGGCGCAAACCGATATCGAGGAGTTGTCAAGTTTGGTAGCCAATGGTAAGTCAGGGGGGAGTGGCTACTTGATAAGTGAGCCAATCAAGGCTATTAAATCGTTGACTTTGGATTTGTGTGACCAATTACAACCCGGGAATATCAAGACTGACTTAGCAGAGCAAGTTATCAAGAATCTCGTTTTTGTAGCACGTGTTCTTGAAAAAGTGACAAATGACAATCGAAAAATTAATCTTTTGTGGTTAGTTAAACGGATGAGGAAAATTGTAAATAGTGAAGTTGTTGAGGGTTCCGGAAGTACTGTTTTGCGAACTGAAGTTTTCAAATGGATTGCTGCTATAGTTTRTGTACTAGAACTAGACAGTATTGTCCCAATTGTGGCTCATTTGTTGGCCCCCTTGGTACGCGAAATGGTCACAGTTGAGGAAAGCAACGCCCCCTTGAGACACCTCTCCAAGGAAGTGGGGACTTTACTGAAAAAACGCATCGGCGTTGAGACCTACACCCAAACCCTGTCAAAACTTCAACAGAATTTATCTGTCAAAAGAGCGGAACGTAAGCGTTCACGAACGCAGTTGGCCGTGACCGATCCTGAAACATTCGCCAAAAAGAAAATCATGAGACAGGAAAAGAAAAAGGTGGCGAAAAAACGCAAACTGGAACAGTTGAAAGGCAAGAAAAGACAGTTCAAACGTCGGAAAACCGTCGATTTGGATCCAGAATCGGAAGTCATGTGACGTCTTTCGCCACACCTCCGGAGAAAGTTTCCATGGCCGGCTGTTTAGTCTAGTGTTGGCGATCACGTGATGCGAAATGTTGATATTTTTTTTGGGTTTTTTGCTACTCGTGAAGGCTTACGATCCGACGGATCCGGAAGTTAGTTCAGTTTTGCCCCCCAAGGGGACGTTCGAAGCGTTCTATCCGAGGGGCGAGGAAGGGGGAAGCTCGAGGGCGGCACACTCGCATGGGAGTTTCTACAAGTACAGGAATCCCGCACTGGTCGATGCCAAAAATGCAGCGGCGTACGGGTTCAGGTTCGACGGGGGCAGGAGGTTCAATTACGACTAAAGGGGCGGCCATTGCTTGTATATTTCTTGTATAAAAGTTGTTAAATATAACGGTTTTCTACCTAAATAAAATTGTGTAATGCAAAGGAATGGTGTTTTATTGTTACAGTGGCGCACACGGAATTTCAAATTTATGTCAGTTCAAGAAATGTCAATGATGTTTTGAAATTAAAATTTGAAAGTTTTAGTTGAAATAGTTTTTATACAAGTTCAATTAATTGATTTGTTGTAATTTTTTCTTTAGCTGCGAGGATAAAAATTACAAAAACCGAAAGTGAGGTTATTGCCTAAGGCCCGTTTTACATTTTTATGTCAGTTGAATGACAAATTACGGTATTGTGAGTATTGTTGGTTGCATACCCAAGATTAATCATTTATCACAAGTGTGATTGATGAGTCGCTGAATAACACTTGAAGCGAAATAAATGTCTTCAACAGCTTAATTACAGGTCAATAATCGATTCTGATGAAGGTCGACACGGCCGACAAAAGAACTTATTTGTTTTCGTTTCCTAATGATTAATGTTTAGTGGAAAACATGAGGAGAGAATTTTTTCTAATTAAATTTTGGTTGAGAAGTATAAAGAAATTTTAAGATGTTATCAGGCTTCAACCGGTTGTCCTTATCCCTTTTATAAATAGCTTTAACTGTCGACATTACCCGGAACAACGACATTTATCACTTCATGGTGGGATTCCGAGGAACTTGTCGGTATCTCTCGATTTTTTAAGCGAAAAAATTTTCAAAGGATTTTGTCCAATAAATTGCTTTAAGAGGGTTTAAATAAAGTATTTTTGTGTTATGGTTTTAAAATAAATAATAAGCGCACTTCAAATACATTTTTATCGAGTTCTAAAAAAAAAATACAATCTAGAACGTTCAGCTTTCGTTGGTAATTTACCAACGTTTGATATACAGAGTGACCCAAGAGTGCGTGCAAGCTCCAAAAGTTTTTTTCTATCCAAGCTATGGACTTGATTTTTTTTAACGATAGGTCCTATAATGAAGCACATTTCAAAAACATTTTTATTTAATACTGGATGTCCCAAAATAAGATACACAACTATCTCCTGTTTTTTTTTTTTTTTTTAATGAAAACCCCTAATTTTTGTTACATTTTTTAATTCATTAAATTGTCGATATAACGCACCCAGTTTCTGTGAATTATCTGAATTAGTTTTTGACTTATGTCAATTTATGTGTCAAAGTAGCGTTGTGCATAAAACAACAGAATAATTCATAACTTCAGAACCATTCACAATAACGTAACCAACTTTTTTCTAGTCGATTCCTCAAATTTTAACGCATTTTTTGAGATAAAGGCAAACTCTGAGTCGATGTTCCATCGCCTACTACGATTTTTTTTAAATGACATTACAAATGATAACTCGACTTTTTAAAATACAACGCCCTGTATTTTATTGCATCATTGCATGACATTTTTATGAGTTTTTGGTCGATTAGGGTTTGCGGGGCCTATTTTGTGGTATTTGCAAAATGAGAAAGGTTGATGTTTTTTTTTTGAAAAAAAAGGAATCAAGTAGGCCGATGTCATAAAATTTGACACATCCATACAATTCTGAAAAGAATATGTTTCAACAAAATGAAATTGTAATATAAACAGGACAAAATCACAAAGGAAACAATTTTAGTAAGAACAATGTGAAAAGTCTACTTATAAAAAATGCTCAAATAAGTCACCATCATGTTATTCTTTTAGTAATCGGTTAAATGGAAGGCTTCCGTCAAATTTTACGCAGCCTACTAAGTAGATTCTTTTTTTTTTCAAAAAAAATCAACATTTTTTATTTTGCAAAAATCTCACAAGTTTTACAAAGTACTTTCCACAAACTCTATACATATGCAATAAAACATAGAGTGTTGTATTTTTTGAAAAAGTCGACTTAATGCCATTTGGTATTTTTAATTTTCAAAAAATCGTAGTAGGCGATGCAACATTGACTTTGAGTATGTTTTTATCTCAGAAAATGCGCTAAAGCTTAAGGAATCGACTGGAAAAAAGTTGATTAAGTTACCTTGAATGGTTTCGAAATTATGACTTTTTCTGTGGATCTATATACTATTTTGACAAATCAATTGACATAAAAAATATTAAATATATAAATATAAATATTCTTCTTCTTCTTGGATCTTCTTGGTATGGAAACGATGAACAAAAACACGATTAGCCCGTCACACCAAA